TGTTTGTTTGTTTGAAACTTAATAGTGAGTCTAATGTTTGTTTTGTTGAGAACATGTTTGAAATTTCCAGTTTTGATGAATTTCAATATTGTGCTATATTTAGGGTTTAAGAATAAGTTAATTGAATTATATTTTTCAGATTAGGATTTTTTTTTTGTTTTTTTTTTCGTTTGTTTTTGTTACAGTACTGAAGATGATGATAATTATTTGTTTTCGTTTCTACGATGTGGATGTTTATAAATGTATTTTCATCTGAAGAACTATAATGTATTGTATTGGATTTATTTTTTTTTGTTTTTTGTTTTTTTAAAATTTTTGAGAGCTGATATATTTGAGTACTCAGTGCATAGGTGTTGATTATGGATGGTCCTTTGAGGTGATTTTTTGTCATTGTTTCGAATCCGGCTAAACGAATAATGGTAATACTCTGTAAACTGAATTATTTTGTATCACGTTGTTCATTGTAGTTGATTTTAAGTTTTATATAGAAACATAGAAGACATGAATAATTTTTTCTTGCATTACAGAGGCTGCCATCGAATCTCGTGCATGAATATATGCTCGATGTACCTCTTCGATGTACGTTAACTACAACAAAAGGCCGCAGGTATGAGGTTACAATAAGAGGTAATGCTAAGTGGGTAGAATTTCATGAAGGGTGCAGAGAATATTCTGCGTGAATATTATGTTTGGTTTGAACGCAATAGTCTTAAAGAATTTGTTGTCACTGTTCTTGAGGAAAATGCAATTGGGCGCACTGTGGAATATCATTTTACACTTGAGATCAAGAAAACACACGTAGAATGTGCACGGCTGGTAATTGAGTAATTGTAAATTTCATGTTATTATTTTGTAGCATCATTTTTGTTCTGTATTTATATCATATTTTAAGAAAAAAAAAGTTGAATGCAGTCTATCCCCATTAAGATTTGGCGGGCGCATGTGGTGGGTCAGTATGATGACTCGACTCGTGGGACGTTGGCATTTGATGAAGTTGAAATTGTCGAAGGGCATGGGAAAGTGTTGATACAAAATGGTCGCGCTAGAGAGTTTGTAAATATAAGTGGAATTGTTGAAGGTTCAATATGTATATTCCACTTGTTTCCTGATATGTATGTTGGTTTTGTGGTGAGCGAAGTGTGATCTCTGAGTTTTATGTCATTGGGTACAATTGTTTTGTAATTTGACATTATGCAGTGTGATCTGTGTGTTTTCTATAGTTAAAGACGATTGTTTTGTAATTTGATATTATGTAATCGTTTATGTGAACCTTTTATTGTTGTGACTTGAATGCCACTCATCCCTATTCATGTAATCGTTCATGTGGTGGGTGAGTAATTGTTTATATGAACCTTTTATGTCGATTACTGCAACAACATTTGAGGGTGAACTTATGTGACTTGAACATTTTATTTCCCAAACATTTTCTGTAAATACATCATTTTTTGTGATGGATAGTGGGAATCACTGTGAATGGTTTAAAAATTGGACTGTAAATAAATATAAGAACATATTTTAGTAAGGCACAGTCACAATATTAACGTGTAGCAATAGAAAATATGAAATACATGTTTCTTATGCAATGTTTGAAGGTATCCATGGCTACTATTTAGTACATATAACATAATAAATTTAAATGTAAAGTGACAGTTGAAGTATTTATGCACGAACATGCTGCATTAATCAACATCCATCACAATAGCTTAGAAGAAGACCAGCTATTACACATAAGTTCACACTGAAATGTTTGGGAAATTCTTAGTTACAACTGATCATATCCCCAAAA